CACACTCTCTCTCACACTCTCTCTCACACACACACTCACACTCTCACTCTCTCTCTCACACACTCTCTCTCACACACACACTCTCTCTCACTCTCTCACACACTCTCACTCTCTCTCTCACACACTCTCTCACACACACTCACTCTCTCTCACTCTCTCTCACACTCTCTCTCACTCTCACACTCACACTCTCTCACTCTCACACTCTCTCTCACACACACTCTCTCACACACACTCACTCTCTCTCTCTCTCTCTCTCTCTCTCTCTCTCTCTCTCTCTCTCTCTCTCTCTCTCTCTCTCTCTCTCTCTCTCTCTCTCTCTCTCTCTCTCTCTCTCTCTCTCTCTCTCTCTCTCTCTCTCTCTCTCTCTCTCTCTCTCTCTCTCTCTCTCTCTCTCTCTCTCTCTCTCTCTCTCTCTCTCTCTCTCTCTCTCTCTCTCTCTCTCTCTCTCTCTCTCTCTCTCTCTCTCTCTCTCTCTCTCTCTCTCTCTCTCTCTCTCTCTCTCTCTCTCTCTCTCTCTCTCTCTCTCTCTCTCTCTCTCTCTCTCTCTCTCTCTCTCTCTCTCTCTCTCTCTCTCTCTCTCTCTCTCTCTCTCTCTCTCTCTCTCTCTCTCTCTCTCTCTCTCTCTCTCTCTCTCTCTCTCTCTCTCTCTCTCTCTCTCTCTCTCTCTCTCTCTCTCTCTCTCTCTCTCTCTCTCTCTCTCTCTCTCTCTCTCTCTCTCTCTCTCTCTCTCTCTCTCTCTCTCTCTCTCTCTCTCTCTCTCTCTCTCTCTCTCTCTCTCTCTCTCTCTCTCTCTCTCTCTCTCTCTCTCTCTCTCTCTCTCTCTCTCTCTCTCTCTCTCTCTCTCTCTCTCTCTCTCTCTCTCTCTCTCTCTCTCTCTCTCTCTCTCTCTCTCTCTCTCTCTCTCTCTCTCTCTCTCTCTCTCTCTCTCTCTCTCTCTCTCTCTCTCTCTCTCTCTCTCTCTCTCTCTCTCTCTCTCTCTCTCTCTCTCTCTCTCTCTCTCTCTCTCTCTCTCTCTCTCTCTCTCTCTCTCTCTCTCTCTCTCTCTCTCTCTCTCTCTCTCTCTCTCTCTCTCTCTCTCTCTCTCTCTCTCTCTCTCTCTCTCTCTCTCTCTCTCTCTCTCTCTCTCTCTCTCTCTCTCTCTCTCTCTCTCTCTCTCTCTCTCTCTCTCTCTCTCTCTCTCTCTCTCTCTCTCTCTCTCTCTCTCTCTCTCTCTCTCTCTCTCTCTCTCTCTCTCTCTCTCTCTCTCTCTCTCTCTCTCTCTCTCTCTCTCTCTCTCTCTCTCTCTCTCTCTCTCTCTCTCTCTCTCTCTCTCTCTCTCTCTCTCTCTCTCTCTCTCTCTCTCTCTCTCTCTCTCTCTCTCTCTCTCTCTCTCTCTCTCTCTCTCTCTCTCTCTCTCTCTCTCTCTCTCTCTCTCTCTCTCTCTCTCTCTCTCTCTCTCTCTCTCTCTCTCTCTCTCTCTCTCTCTCTCTCTCTCTCTCTCTCTCTCTCTCTCTCTCTCTCTCTCTCTCTCTCTCTCTCTCTCTCTCTCTCTCTCTCTCTCTCTCTCTCTCTCTCTCTCTCTCTCTCTCTCTCTCTCTCTCTCTCTCTCTCTCTCTCTCTCTCTCTCTCTCTCTCTCTCTCTCTCTCTCTCTCTCTCTCTCTCTCTCTCTCTCTCTCTCTCTCTCTCTCTCTCTCTCTCTCTCTCTCTCTCTCTCTCTCTCTCTCTCTCTCTCTCTCTCTCTCTCTCTCTCTCTCTCTCTCTCTCTCTCTCTCTCTCTCTCTCTCTCTCTCTCTCTCTCTCTCTCTCTCTCTCTCTCTCTCTCTCTCTCTCTCTCTCTCTCTCTCTCTCTCTCTCTCTCTCTCTCTCTCTCTCTCTCTCTCTCTCTCTCTCTCTCTCTCTCTCTCTCTCTCTCTCTCTCTCTCTCTCTCTCTCTCTCTCTCTCTCTCTCTCTCTCTCTCTCTCTCTCTCTCTCTCTCTCTCTCTCTCTCTCTCTCTCTCTCTCTCTCTCTCTCTCTCTCTCTCTCTCTCTCTCTCTCTCTCTCTCTCTCTCTCTCTCTCTCTCTCTCTCTCTCTCTCTCTCTCTCTCTCTCTCTCTCTCTCTCTCTCTCTCTCTCTCTCTCTCTCTCTCTCTCTCTCTCTCTCTCTCTCTCTCTCTCTCTCTCTCTCTCTCTCTCTCTCTCTCTCACACACGCACGCTCTCTCTCTCTCACGCACGCTCTCTCTCACGCACGCTCTCTCACACGCACGCACTCACACTCGCTCACGCTCTCACACACGCTCTCACACTCGCTCACGCTCTCACACTCGCTCACGCTCTCACACTCGCACACTCTCTCTCTCACGCACGCTCACGCTCTCTCACACACGCACACACGCTCACGCTCTCTCACACACGCTCACGCTCTCTCACGCTCTCTCACGCTCTCTCACACGCGCGCTCTCTCGCACTCTCTCACACTCTCTCACACACGCTCTCTCACGCTCTCTCACGCTCTCTCACACTCGCACTCTCTCGCGCGCGCACTCTCTCGCGCGCGCACTCTCTCGCGCGCTCTCTCACGCTCTCTTGCTCGCGCGCACACACACAGACGATGCGCAGCTCTCACACTCGCTCACGCTCTCACACACACTCTCTCACTCACTCACTCACACGCGCACGCTCTCACACTCGCGCACTCTCACGCGCGCGCTCTCGCGCGCGCGCTCTCTCGCGCGCACTCACGCGCGCTCTCTCACACTCACGCTCTCTCACACTCGCTCACGCTCTCTCACACTCGCTCACGCTCTCTCACACTCGCTCACGCTCTCTCACACTCGCTCACGCTCTCTCACACTCGCTCACGCTCTCTCACACTCGCTCACGCTCTCTCACACTCGCTCACGCTCTCTCACACTCGCTCACGCTCTCTCACACTCGCTCACGCTCTCTCACACTCGCTCACGCTCTCTCACACTCGCTCACGCTCTCTCACACTCGCTCACGCTCTCTCACACTCGCTCACGCTCTCTCACACTCGCTCACGCTCTCTCACACTCGCTCACGCTCTCTCACACTCGCTCACGCTCTCTCACACTCGCTCACGCTCTCTCACACTCGCTCACGCTCTCTCACACTCGCTCACGCTCTCTCACACTCGCTCACGCTCTCTCACACTCGCTCACGCTCTCTCACACTCGCTCACGCTCTCTCACACTCGCTCACGCTCTCTCACACTCGCTCACGCTCTCTCACACTCGCTCACGCTCTCTCACACTCGCTCACGCTCTCACACTCGCGCACTCTCACGCGCGCGCTCTCTCGCGCGCACTCACGCGCGCTCTCTCACACTCACGCTCTCTCACACTCTCACTCTCACACTCGCTCACGCTCTCACACACTCTCTCATGCTCTCACACTCGCTCACGCTCTCACACTCACACTCGCTCACGCTCTCACACTCACACTCGCGCTCTCTCACACTCGCGCTCTCACGCGCGCGCTCTCTCACACGCACTCGCGCTCTCTCACACTCGCTCACGCTCCCACACACACTCTCTCACTCACACTCTCTCACGCTCGCGCTCTCACGCGCGCGCTCTCACGCGCGCGCTCTCTCGCGCGCACTCACGCGCGCTCTCTCACACTCACGCTCTCTCACACGCACTCGCGCTCTCTCACACGCACTCGCGCTCTCTCACACGCACTCGCCCTTCACTCTCACGCACTCGCCCTTCACTCTCACACACTCGCCCTTCACTCTCACACACTCGCCCTTCACTCTCACACACTCGCCCTTCACTCTCTCTCACACACACACACACACACACACAGTGTCAGACTGTCACTTGATGCTTTCTGTCCTCCGTAGGTGTGTAAACAGCAGATGGGATCGGCCTAAAGCAGAAGTCCTGCCGAATGAGTCCCGTGTGGCCCGTGGCTCCGTCTCATCTTCCACAGATGCGTCTGGAGCTCCGCAGGGCGGCGTTGAGATGGCAGCGGCGATGGCGGCCAAAATCAACGCCATGCTGATGGCCAAAGGCAAACTGAAACCACTGCAGCCGCTGCCCAGTAAAGTACTGACCGTCCCGCAGCCGTGTGTCCCATGATGCCCTGCTGTCGCTCCGTGAGCTCACGCGTGTTTGTGTGTTTGCAGGCGCCGCCAGCTCTTCCGGTCGCCGCTGAGGAGCTCATCGTGGCTGAAGTCGACATAAACGACGTGCACATGGAGTGCAGGGATCTCCTGACCAAAGGCAAAACTCAGGACGAGGTTTGTGACGACACACACGTGACACTGGCGTGTCTGTCTGCACACGCGTGTTGACTCTCTGCTGTCTGTGCTGTAGATCGGGCAGCTGAGCGGTGCAGTGGTGTCCACTAAAGGCCTGTACATGAGTGACACAGACAGGAGCGGCAGCGCAGGCGTGTGAGTATCAGTCCAGTGATGTGTGTGTTCCCGCGTGTGTGTGTGTGAGAGTGTTCCCGCACACGTGTGTCGTCTGCTCTCTAACGCTCAGTCTCTGTGTGTTCAGGGCGAGACCGCTGTATCTGCATGTGCAGGGCCGCCGTCAGGAGCAGGTCAACAGTAAGTGCTGGAGTTCAGTCTCTGCTGCAGTCTTGCGGAGACTGATTTGGTGCCCCTCGCATCGCAGCCAATTCCAACACCGATCATTCACACAGAAACTGCATAGCTTTGACATAAAACAAATGACAAACTAATTACATATGAAATCAATAAGACAATAAACTGACATTATCTCCGTTAGCTATTTAAATTGGAGAACCCATTTTGGGATTTATCGTCCAAAGGCAGCTACAATACTAACATTTAAATCTTAATTTCTTCATTTCAGACATTCTTAAATTTATGGGTTGCACTGATCTTAACTTTTCATATCAGAATCCAATACTGATTTTTAATGTATTTAAGCAAAAGACAAGAAAGAATAGTAGTTTGTTGCTTTATTTGCCTATATTTTGATCTAAATTAGACTGTATAATTTCAAAACTTGAAGGAAAAACAGAATGGTCTGACTTTATCTTTGTGAAATAAGGCTACACAAAACCTAGCAAACGGCAGATGGCTGAATGAAAATGTAAAGTCACTCTCTGCCAGCAGGTGGCGCTTAAGGAACAGCAGTGATGCATTGTTTGCTTGATTACCGCTGTAAACACTAAATGGCATTTTCCTTTCATCTTGCCTCTGGAATGCATCTAAACTGTTTCTTAAGACAGTCAGTTCCCCTCAGAGATACATTCATACTTCACGCATTGTGAATAGTGAGCTTGCTCTGGCTGCTAATGTATTTTCTGCTCTTTGCGTCTCTGGCCTCTAAACGCTGCTTACAGGCTCTGAAATAAAACGCAAAACCGTCCGGTTCCGGTTTATGGCCGATGGTCAATCGGTGCATCTCTGCTCGAATTCAAATGTTAAACTGCTTTTATTTTGGTAGTTTGCCAGCAAATAAATAAATGCGCTGCCTTGTGTCTTGGGCTGCACTCGAACACATTACCGCTTCACTCTGAAAACTCTAGCGCAAATCGCAACCTTCGCGATATGACTTTGGCATTAAGCCATAATGCGATATTGATTTATATTTCGATATATAGTGCACCCCTAATTAAAATAATATAATTTAAAAAAAAAAAAGAAAACTAATTTGGGCGCCCCTAGCATTTGCCTATTTCTCCTATGCAACGGGCCGGCCCTGCGTCACATTAGTGCAGTTAGCACCCACTTTACAAACCAAGCAGATTTTTATTGGTTAAACGCTGCACATTCATGTAACCTGAAGATGAATAAAACCTGCAAACTCCTGATCACATTGATTCCTGTTGAAATGACTGGATTGTGCAGGTTTCCCAGAGCAAGACTGCATGTGAGACGGGCGTTAAAGTGCACTCCGCTCACACTCACTGCATGTAATCGGCTCATGTCTTATTTTACTGCATTAGTGCACTGAGCCTGTTTTACTGCACATTACACACTGATTCTCTATAAACCTCTTCATCAGTGTGATCTCTTACACTACAGACATTAGTGAAGCTTTAAACGCTGCAGACACACTCTCACACTCATCGTCACTGACTCACTCCTGATAATGTGCTTTACCGCCGCTGATGGAGTGGAGCTGAACAGGAGGTTGTTGTGTTTGTCAGAGGCAGTGGCCAGGATAAAGGAGATCATCTCTGAGGACGTGCTGCGCTCGTCGGGTGGACAGCAGCCCGCTGTGATGCCCACTGTACCGGTGTACCGTCAGACCCTCAGCGCCGCCCCCGGACACAAACCGGCCCCACCGCACACGGGGGTAAGAGAGTGTGTGTGTGTGTGTGTGTGTGTGTGTGTGTGTGTACAGGGAAAAGCCCTGAAAGCAGATCTCTGCTGATACACGCCTCCTACAGAAACGGCAGCCAGAACAACTCCAGCCTACAGACAGAGGTCAGAGTTCACTGCGCCGCTGACACGTGTCTGACCCTCACACACTGATTCTAACATCACCTGTTGGTCCAGACCTGATGCAGCCTTACATCTGCCGAAACTCTGAGACTTGTGCAGCCGCTGCGTCTCTTGACGATATACTGACATCTTATTAAGCGAATGAGAGAATTAATTCAATTGTTTTGCATACACAAGACTCTCAGCGCGCACACACACAGACACGCAGACTCACACGCAGACGCAGACGCAGACTCGCACGCAGACGCAGACTCACACGCAGACGCAGACTCACACGCAGACGCAGACTCACACGCAGACGCAGACTCACACGCAGACGCAGACTCACACGCAGACGCAGACTCACACGCAGACGCAGACTCACACGCAGACGCAGACTCACACGCAGACGCAGACTCACACGCAGACGCAGACTCACACGCAGACGCAGACTCACACGCAGACGCAGACTCACACGCAGACGCAGACTCACACGCAGACGCAGACTCACACGCAGACGCAGACTCACACGCAGACGCAGACTCACACGCAGACGCAGACTCACACGCAGTCGCAGACTCACACGCAGACGCAGAC